AAAACTCTTACTTTATCAGCTTGTCTCAATTCTTCTTCGTGCTGATTAAAGACATCTTCCCATCTGTGCTGGCGCCTTTGCCTGCGGGCTTCTAAATCTGAGAGCTGAAGCTCTTCAGGTCTCCTTGATGACTTTGCCCTGAACCTCTTTGGTGATAGTTTTTTTGCCAGTGCTTGCCTCAGACTAGAAACTTTTGATTTTTTCTTCCGTGCCTGTTCTGGTTGTGAGTAAAACCTATTTAATGACAGATTTTCCATCAGGGTTTGCAAAGGACCAAGTGGCTTTGAGTTATTTGAGTTTGGTGCTCGAAGCAAGTCTCTTGAGAGTCCCTCTATCAGTGCTTGAACTGAGTCAACTGCCTGTGGGGTTTCTAGTGTCCAAGCCTGTGCCTGAGGCAATCCTTCAGTTTGCCCCTCTACTGGAATGAGCACCTGAGTATCCAAATGCAGTGGCAATAGCACATGGTGATTCTGTGATAGCAGGGGCATGAATAACTGGGCATGTACTCGTAATGACTCAGGTTCCTCTGCCTCAGCCTCTGCCTGTGCAGGCTCAGCAGCCTGTTCCTGTACCTCTGGCTGTTCAGGTGCCTGGTTCTGCTCCAGCTCTTGTTCAGGTACCTGGTTGTGCCCCTGCAGTTGTTCAGGCGCCTGGCCCTGCCTTTGTTGTTCAGGTACCTGATCGTGCCTCTGAAATTCCTCTGGTACCTGGTCCAGATCTTGTGGTTCTGATGCTTGGGTCTGAGCCTGCTGCTTTTTGGGTACCTGGGCCTGTACCTGTAGAAGCCTAGGTGTCCTACCCTGTGCCTGCAGTGGCATGAGCACCCGGGCTGCCCTCTGTAGTCGTGGAGGTGCCTTAATCTGCATTTGTAGAGGTCTAGTGGCCTTAGGCTTCACCTGAGCCCGTAGTGGCATGAACACCCGAGCTGCCCCTTGTAGTCGTAGAGGTGCCTGAGCCTGCCCCATGAGAGGCCTGGGTGCACTGTCCAGAGGTTGCAGTGGCACGAATACCCTGGCTGCTCCCTGTAGCTGCTGAAGTGCCTGGACCTGTGGTTCTTCTCGATCTGGTAGCCACCTTGGCTGAGAGGGTTCTCCATGCAGGACTCTAAGTGGTCTGCATCTGCTGCTGGTTGGCAATCTCAGAAGCTCATGAGTGCAAGAGGGTCCTCTAAAATAAACATACAAATGATGGGCATACAATTAGAATTTTTAGTGGAATGGAGCCATTCAGGGGCATTGTTTTTTACTTTAAAAGATGGAAATTTTCTGCAATGAAGATACCTTCAGTAAATCTTTCTAAAATCATTCCTTTAATGTCTGAAATATTCTGAAGGTAACATTTGTATTCAATTATTAATGAAATCTGATATCTACTTGATCATTCACTTGCCAGTTATTAAGGAGTCTTTAGGTAATAATAAAATATTCTCTTTATATTTTCACTTAATATTTCTTAAAAACAGAGATCTGTTATTTGTTGTATCAGAAAGAATTCTTTCTGAATCAAAGGCAACAGTATGGAATCAACTGCCTTACATAAATTTCTATCATCAAATTATATAAGTACTTTGTGGAACGCACCTGAATCTTTTCATGGTGTACTGTTCCTTGATAGCTTCTTCTCTTTCAAAGATCAAAGGTATTCCTTTTTTTAAGAAAGAGAAAAACATAATGCATAAACAGTCAGCATATAAGCATGTTATCCACTTTATTCACATTGTTCCCTCTACTCAGGACATGGAGTGAATTACAAGGGCAAGAAGGTAGCCCTTCAAACACACTTGGTTTGTGATGTAGACAATATTCTAATTTCTAGGCCCATTTTAAAGCACAGTATAGCTATTGCATGCAGATTAATTTCTCTGAACAGAGAAAAGAAAATTTAGCTATCTGATTTCTGCAATTCTAAAGAGAAAGAAGAGAGAATGGGACAAAGGGAGAATGAGACAAGAGAAACTCTAGATAGCGGTGAGCATCGCTTACAGCTGTGAGCGCTAGATGTAAGGACTTTATGGCTTAGATTGATATTAAATCTTTTCAATGAGAAGGCAAATTCTTAATTCTGTGTTTTACACTAAACACATTGAAAAAATTCAGCTTCTTTCCTAACAGCTGTGCCATTACTACTGAAATATAGAAACTTACAAACAAAAGAGTTTTCTTTTGAATTTCCTATATTAAAATGTTAAGGGTAACTATATTTATATCTTTAGTGTAACTTTCATATAAATGGAACTTTTCCTGCAGGTAAAATTTTGGAAATTTTGCAACTCTGGAAATTAGCAAATTACCAAGTAGATGTGCAGTTTTCCTGCACCCATTCGAAACTGGCTGGTCTTCTGTGACATTGATTCAATAACTTTATTACCATAGGTAAATAAATTAATTGTTGCTGCTCCTTATCTCAAAACAGGATACATGTACAGATTTAACAAGCCCCACTGCAATCAATCCCACAGCTGATCTGAGGATGCTTGCTTTTTCAAGTTTTCCCTTCTACATTCCATTGTTACTCTCAACTCTGCCTATGGTCCCCAAAATCAAATGTGAAATATGTAACATAACATATAAAGTTAGAACTTCCCAAGTGGCTTCTTCTGGACTTGGTGAAAATCCATCCTGTAATTTTTATTTTAATTTTTTGGGGGGCAGGGTCTTTCTCTGTAACCCAGGCTGGAGTGCAGTGGCACAATCTAGGGTCACTGAAAAATCCTGCCATTTTAAATAGAAGTTCACTTCTATTAATAGACAGAAGTTTATGTTTATTTGTATAAATTAATTCCTTTAATTACATCTTATATTTGGAGTTTAGTACATAAAACTAGCTTTATATGGTACCCAAATACTACGTCAAAATTACTGGTCAATAAATGGTTAATTACAAATCCATTTATCTCTTGTCAACATGCCAGCTGAAAAAAAAAAAAAAACAAAAACAGCAGTAACATATACATTTTGTTGCCTTTTATCTTTCATTTATTTTAGTTACTTAAAGTTGGCATATCACAAAATTTTACTGGAGGTTTTCAATGTCTCTATAAATATGAATATTTTCCAGGTGTAACTGGCAAGAATTAGTGGCTATACACAAAAGCACACAAACGCACATATGCACCCACACACTCAGGCAAGAGTTAATGAATTAAATAAGAGTACATGCCATATTCTTGGAAAAGTTAAATATCGAAGGCCTCAGAAGTTTTACTTTCAACCTAATTCTTAAACAAATATTATTTTTTCCTGGAAACAATACACAAACAAACTCTGAATATTCATTTCAGTAAAATAAAACATCATAGATTCTACCTTTTTTCTGTCTTTTTTTAATGATTCCAGTAAGATGCCTTGTTAATGACTCAACAACATGTCGTTCATTTTTTATATCCCGAACAAATGGGTGATGAAGCATGTTTGCAGAAGTAGGACGAAACAGAAAATTTTTTATCATACACTTTTCCATGAAATTGTGGAACTTACGGGACCTAAAATAAATGAGTCCAAGGGAAAAAAAAAAAAGTGTTCTCAGGCCTGCCAGACTTCTTCCCACCACCACCCACATGCCTCTCTGAAAATCATATTTAGAGAGAGCTGCCTTTAAGTATCATTGTCTTTTCAATTGCTAAACATCCTGCAGTTTGGCAACATACATTATACAGTGAGCCAATTTAGACATCAGAAAAAGAAGCAAAAGTTAATCGCATTTACCATCTAAATTACAGTAGAAATTTCAATGAGTTACCTGTATGTACCTGGAAAAATCTCAAGCGCAAGTATGATGATTAAATGGATAATGTGATATATGTAGTCTGCAAGACTAGATTCATTGTCCCACAGCACTCGTACTCTGTATTTTTCATTTGACTATATGCAGTTTTAACTAAAGAAGAATAAATATAATGATCCAAAAAGAGGGTGTTAAAAGAGCCAGGACTAACTAATCTTGAAAAAATAGATGTGGCCATAAAGACTGAATCCATGGTAAGTTGAATTGCAATGCAGAATGTTAGCAATCAAATAACAGTCACCACTTCTACCAGGGAAAGCAATAGCAACTAATATATGCAAGAGCTTCAGGTACAAGATCAACAAGCTTTAGAGAGAAGAATTCCCAAGTTTAGCTGGCATGTAGTGTCCTGGGAGAGCAAGTCTTCTGCTCTAGGTCTGTGTATGTTTAGTTTAAATGACTAATTAACGGGGCTGCATATAACTGACTGCCTATGTAAGCACCACTAATAGTTGCATTAGTTCATCCCATTACTGTGGCAACAACTGAACATGCCCATTAATGGCAGTAGAATAATAGCATCAGAAAATACTATAGAGGATATTACTTATTTATACTTGGCTAGCTACTTCTTAATGAAAACTGGTCATTTAAACCTCCCAGTTAAGATGTTAGATTTTAGAAAATATTGTCCAACAAGGATGGTGGAGCAGGAGTGACCAAATGAGCTAAAACTTATTTGCTAACATAAAAATGTCAAGTCAATGTATTTAGGAAATTAAGGTATTCATCTTTACCATCCACTGGATTTGACTGTGGGTGCAGATTCCCGCAAAATAACGAAGAGAGCTTCCAAGGGTTGAAGGTTACACAGAGCTGCAAAGGGAAATAGATAAACTTACAAAAATGGGAAGGATAACTAAAGAGCACACTCCTCATTCCAGACGGGTTTCTCAGTAATCTTTCATATATAATGTTTAGTAGCCACTAAGGGACGAATAAATACAAAAGAATGTATTTAGAAAGAAAAGGAAAAGCTTGTTTTAACACAATTTTGCAATATATAAGATTCTCAAGTTTCACTATCACCAGGTAGTATAAATTAATAATAAACCAGAAAACATATTTGAAATGTATAGTTGATAATTTATATCTCGAAAAGTTAACTGAAAGTGAAACAAGTACACTTCTGTAATTTTGTATTGCAGGTGTTTAGTTATAAAATTGGGATATGTAATTACAGACTGAAAAAGTCAACCAGACTACTATTTAAGTACAATAATATATAAATAACAATGGTTTAGTAGTCTTGAAAGCTGAGAAGAATCTGTTTTGGAAGCTGAGAGTTCTAGAAAAAAAGATAGAACAGTGCAACTGTTAAGAATACACCACCTGGAGTAAGATCATTTGGGTTCAAATCTAGCTTTATCTTTGTGACTTTGGGCAAATTACTTAACTTATCTGTATCTTGTGTTCTTTTCATCTGAAAAACAGGAAGTGTAGCAGGAGGAATCCCTTCAAAAAATTGCTGTGAGGATTAATTAGCAACTTACAAGTAAAAGTGTCTTTACCTCATAAATATATACACCAACTAAATACCCACAAAAATTTTTAAAATAATTTTAAAAATCCCCCCAAAAGTATCTGACACATAGTAGATGCTAAATAAATATCAGCTATTGACATTATAATAAAGATTTTAACCCTATGGAACTTTGAGACTGTGCCAAACTACTGGACCTTTCATTCTCTGTTTCACACACACAGGCATAAAAAGAAAAGCCTATTCCAATATGTGCTATATAAATTAATTACCTCATTGGTTTGGGAATTTTGTTTTTTTTCTATAAGTGTTTAAATATGTCTCACTTTACTTATTTCCTCTTGTGTTGTGATTAAAGAAAATTGGCAGTGCAAAACATCCCCAATTGAGAACCATAGTGTCAATTTCATCTAACATTACAAGTGCGTCATTCTTGTGAGACTAACTTGATATTAATGACTCTTGATAGAGCTATCCTTTCTCTCCCAAAATGCAACCTCAGATGCAAACCTAAAGTGACAAACTGGCCTCTCATAGTAGTAGACAAAAACTCCACTGGGTGATTTTACTAGGGCTACATACAAAGGAAATTGTTTAAGGGTCAAGCTTTTTTTTCAATTACATAGTTATAAATTAATAGAAGGTACATTTTTATAATTGAAGGCAGAATAAGCTCCAAGAACAAAAGATCAGGATCATATTTAACTCTTTTAATTCTTTTACTGTGTCCATCAGTCTCCAGGCTCTGTCCTTTAAACACATTGTGACTTTGTACAATATTAAACAGTGGTCATTTATTAACGTTTGAGCAACAGTCATTCCACTGACAACATCTTCAGGGGTCAAGAGCCAGGACACAGACTAGGTAAGTTTTCTTTAAAGGAAAAGTTCACAAAGGAATGGAGCATAGGGTGGGTACAAGAGCTATCTGCTGGATTTGACTGTGGGTGCAGATTCCCGCAAAATACCATCTTATATAGTCTAATTTTAGGAATGTCAGTAACTGCCCCCTCCAACCCATATCTCACAACACTACCTAAATGTTCATCATTAGAGGCTCATTCCTTGAACTCCCAACCTCAGGTGATCCACCCACCTTGACCTCCAAAGTGCTTGGATTACAGGCGTGAGCCACCATGCCTGGCCTTAGAGGCTCACTTCTTTGAAACAGCAAGCCTTCCTTAAAAATCGCATTATCTTTTGAAGGGTAGGACACATATTAAACTGAGCTTAGTTTGAATTCGGTTAAATAATGTGGTTTATTCTTAACACATGTTGAGATCTGAGGGAATCTTCTGAATATTGAAGGAATAGGCCTCTTGATGGGACAGGGGTAGATTTGAGCCACAATGCATTCAGCTAAATGTTGACATGGGGTGTGAGAGAGCGACACTACAAGGAATAGAAGTAGGACTATAAAGAAGCATCATTGACAATATTTAAAATGATACACAATATCAAGGAGAATGCAAAAATAGGGGAAAACATGGCCCAGTTTAAGGCAAGTTGACTGGTTTACAGCTTTGCCAAGAAAGGGGAGTCAGGGTGAACTGTTGATCTTATCCTGCTTCTCCTCCAGGAACAGATTATCTTTTTTATAAAGGATAGAGACTAAAAACCACATCTATTCAAAATTAGCCTATGATACTCTGATGTTTGGATGGTTACTAGAAATGTTCTGGCCTTGGTTTAAAGGTCCCCATATTGTTTGAATTCCTACCCAGAACCTAGGGACTGAAGGAGGTCCTGGTTTGCAAATATCCAGCTCTCTATTTCTAGAGCCCCTACAACATTGGCCCCAAAGTTTTTGGCACCAGGGATCAGTTTTGTGGAAGACAGTTCTTCCATGGACCTAGGGTTAGGGGCTTGGTTTGGGAATGAAACTGTTGCACGTCAGTACAGCAGGCATGAGTTAGATTCTCATAAGAAACGTACCACCTAGATCCCTTGCATCCTCAGTTCACAATAGGGTTCCCACTCCTAGGAGAATCTAATGCTGTTGCTGATCTGCCAGGAGGCAGAGCTCAGGTGGTAATGTTTGCTTACTTGCTCGCCACTCACCTCCTGCAGTTTGGCCCAGGGGTTGGGGGCCCATGCCCTATGGCATCCTATCAGGGAGAAGTTATTCTTTCTCTCTCTTTACTTCTCTGGAAAAGATTCACCAAAGGAAGACAGTTTTGTTATCTGGACCTCAAAGGATATTATCAGATAACTGTCACTTTGGAAGGCCATCCCTTGTGAGATAATAATGATAATAACCTGGAGGATTTGTGCAGTTAAACAGATGACAATTATTTCCACACAAAATTAATATTCCAGGCAATAAAGAACACCAGTGAAGGAGAAATGTTTTAGTAGGTAGGCCATTTAGAGATGCTCTTGACCAAAGTTGTACTATTCAAATTACTGATCCAGGCAGGCCAGCCCTATTTTCCCTCTTTGTGAATTCCAAATTTCCTGGTCCTCACTTATCTTTTGTAAGAAGCTTGCAATTTGTGTATGCTGTGCAAAATTCCTTCTCTGCACTCCTGTGAGTTTGCTCACCAATACTTTTTTCCCCATAACTTAATATTTTGGAATGAAAAAAAAGTGAAACAAACAAAGGTGACTCGGGGAGTATAAACTGCAAAACATAGAAAGTTGGTTTTCCGAAAAGGCATGCTGAGGAGCACTCAGAAACAATGGGAAAAATATACATGCAGGCATGTATCCTAACCAAACCCATGCATCAATACTAATATGAAATACTAGTTGCTGCTGCTCAATTTAACATAATCTATGTATGTTTCCCAAACAGAAATAATCAAGAGATGATGAGGAATAGTCCACTATTTCAGTATCATTTCAATTATACATATGTGTCATGTGTAATCTTTTTACATTTTAATAATTCCTATTATTAATTTTTTATTCACCCAACTAAGGTACTTTGCTGAATTGGGGGCCCTATAATAGAGGCAGAAGCAACATGATCTCCACAGGCATTCTAGCTTTATCCCAGCCCCTCTTTGATATTCTAAGGGATAGTAGGAATTCTCAAAAATTATGTTAACATTATTTCTATTTCTTGAAATTCCTCTCATTGGCCGTGAAACTAAATGCTAAGATATTTCAAATTCATAAAGCTTGATGGGTGGACATTTTTCAGATAGAGCATACAAGAACATGGGAATCTACAGGATCTGCTTTGGAGAGGGGAAAGCAAAGCAATCCTCCCCACACCCCACAAGGCATTTTTTTTCACTTCTCATTCAACAATACCAGAGATGCATTGTCATTTACACTTTTGGATTTTAGTTACTGAGGACAGCAAATATACTACGCTCTGGAGGCACACATTAGATGGTTATCCATCATTTACACCCAAGTTCACATTCCATTTTTACTTTCCTATCAGAAAACAGTGCCTTGAGAGAACAGGATGCTAACACGTCATTTAAATGATGAGGAGGTAGAGAAAACAAGATGACATGGGCACTGAGGCAGCTGAAAGGAGGAAAAAGGGCACTAAAGGTAAGCTGGATTGACTCCAAAGAAAAAAAAATAACTATGTTTACTTCCTGAAATTTCTGAAGATTAGCTCAATTTCAATGAAATGTTAGAGAATTTTCTCAACTATTACAGCCTGAGGCAGTAGCAGTGTGTGACCAAATATTCTGGAATCTAAATGTTCCACCAGGAAATATAGACTGGAATGCCAACCAGAATCCTTATTCTGGTTGCTCAGGACTGTCAGGACCAAATACTACTGAGAATAAATTGAAACAAAACTCAGTCAATCTAAAATAAGATATTGTAAGAAAGAAAAGCACAAGCTGATTTACATACCCACATGTAGCTATTCTGAAGAAAGCATTTGGTAATCACTGAAAAGGTCACCATTAGTAGTTTGGCACATAGTATGACACCTGTCTGGCCAGTGAAAGCTGAGTGGTACAAGTGGCAATCTCATCTTCTTCCACAGAGAGAGATTTCTACAATTTGTATGGCACATTTCCCTAATCTTTAACAAATATCAAACATTTTTACTCACGAGGAGCTCCTTCAGCCATTTCAATAGCAGTAATTCCCACAGACCACACATCACTCTGCAAAGAAAAACATGACAAAAAAAAATGTGACTTAAAAATAGGCAGTTGGTAGTATTTAGAATCTTAAAACAATGTTTAGTTCGGGATGTGGATGCCAATGCCGGAGCCATTTTATGGGTTTCCTATAGTAAAGATTCATTATAGAGTGACATTGTAAGAAGGCATAATCTGAGCTTGTGACCAGCCAGTACCTCACTACCCAACGGGTTGATAGGGAATGGGGTAAAATGCAAGGAAAGTTCATCTTGGATGCATTGCTATTATTGCCCTACCTGAAATACCAAAAGAAACTTGCTATAAAGACATTTCATTACATAGAGTCACCAGTTGTATCATCTTGGGAAAATGTTTTAACTCTCTGTACCTTAATTTCACTCTATGTAAAATAGAGATAATAATAGTATACATTTAGATAAGGCTGGGGTGTGTGTGTGTGTGTGTGTGTGTGTGTGTGTGTGTGTATTTCAGCAGTTCTTGGAATATTCTAAACTAAGTCTAGAACTATAAAGAGTTTCTAGAAAATTATCTTCACTACTATTAACTGTTTAGTACTTTTTTTTTTTTTTTTTTTTTTTTTTTTTTTTTTTTTTTTTTTTTTTTTTTTTTTTTTTTTTTTTTTTTTTTTAGCGTGGAAAGGGCACAGGGCTAGAGATACACTGGATGGCTAAATGACTCCTAAACAGATTTGCTGAATTCCCTTTTTTTTCTTTGTGACAGGGTCTCACTCTGTAACCCAGGCTGCAGTTTGGTGGTGTAATCTGGGCTCACTGCAACCTCTGTCTCCTGGGTTCATGCGATTCTCCTGCCTCAGCCTCCCGAGTAGCTGGGATTACAGGTGCCCACCACCAGACCTGGCTAATTTTTTTGTATTTTTAGTAAAGACAGAGTTTCGCTATGTTGACCAGGTTGGCCTCAAACTCCTGACCTCAGGTGATCTGCGGCCTTGTAGGTTAACTGGATTCTTAGAACCCCAGTTTATAGATTTTTTTAGCTTCAGTTGTGATAGTCTAAGCTTAAGATTTCCTTCAATTACATGGTTCTAGAAACTAAAAATAAATAACAAATACAGGTAAAAGTCCTTGGAAGACTGCAAAAAGTATACAACTATAAAGCATTATTTTTTATAAAAAGCCACTTGAAGAACTTTGTGCTTCCATAGTCTTCATAACGCCTAACAGAGCACTAAACATAATAGGCTCTCAGTAAATAATCATTTTGCAGATCATGCAGAGGGCACTTAGGGAAAGGGAAAAGAGATGACTCTCAATTAATCAACTTCAAGTATTGAGTCCTAGGTTCCACTCAGGGAGACCACAATTAATTGTTTGGATGACTTATGCGGGGAGTGAGATTTTTCCAGTCTATAGCAAATGGAGAATTTTTTTTCCACATCAACTTTTTGAAATGTGTACATGAATGTATATTGTCCAAATTGCAGTTTCAGTGGAAATTTTAATAAATAGCAGGAATTGTTACTTAATTTGTTTATTCTACTGATTTTCTGTGGTTTTGGAAGTGAAACATGCCAAGGATTTTCTCCATTACCCTGAGTAATCAAATTATTTTTTTTTGTCTTTTCTGGAGCTAAGTTACTGTGGGGATTAATAATTGGTTTTACATTTTTTCATTTTTAAGTTTACAATGTCTTTTGCCCCTAGAAGTTAAATTTTTATATACATATAAATCCACATTATATAATATTTTTACCAATATGTTGCAAGCAACATAAACTACACACTCTGCCTCAAATGCAGGTAATTCTCAATGGTATACTTTGTCCACATTCTTAGAAAATATTATTTTATGCATATAATCAAACCACTTACTGAAATAGAGCCTAGTATTTCCAACCAGCATGTAATGTTAAAGGAGGAGTTGCCTGCTTTTTATTTTTTATCATTGCAAATAATGTTAATCAAAAATCCTTTCCAAATTGTAATTTCCACTGTCTGAATTCTCATACTCACCCTGTAATCATAGGAGCGTCTGGGGTCCTCATCACAGTCAATCACCTCAGGTGCCATCCAGTATGGTGTCCCAATGAAGCTATTCCTTCTTCCATTAGTTCTGCTCACCTGGGCACTCACTCCAAAATCAACTGCCAAAATCATTATATGTCAAAATAATCAATCAGAAAGAAAAAGCTCATTAAGTTATTTATTTAACTTGGAAAGCTGATACAAAAGCCAAAAGCCACAATGGATAACAGATTTTCATTCTAGCCTAGCAAATTTTACCATGAAGTCTACTCCAGGAATACTGGGAATAAGCTTTTGCTGCTATTTATGTTGGAATGAGACTCAGCAGTGCTATTATAAATCTACATTAGGTTTGGCTGAATGTTTACCATGAATATTAAAGACAAAGTTCTGTTGGGACACTCTGAACCTCCAAAGTGATAACATATGGAGTGTTTGGACCTGGCACCAAGCTGGAGGAAGAACAGAAGTATAAGCAAGATCAAAGAAATCTGAAACCTATTAGCAGTTGATCAGGAAGCCTCACACATGATATTAGAAGGCTCTATCACAATGATAAAGAAAAATGAGTTTTCTGCTAGAATTTAGTTTAAATTCCTACACAGATCTTTTTAATCAGATGCAGGTATTTATTGTGGTATCTATAGCTTAGCTTAGATTATAAGAGTTCAGTCTTCTATTCATCTGTGGGATACATTATAAGAAAATATTTGGAATCATATCCTCAGAAACATAACAAAAAAAGGCTAAAGTGGACTGGGGTTATTTATTCCAAAAGAAATAAAACAGGGATGAAAAATGAAGTAGATTTTCTAATTTAGAATGGTTTCCAGGAATCCAGAGGATGGCGAACAAAACTGACTAAAAGCAGCTTCAGGAATTTAGGGAAAGAGAAGAAAAATGAAAAAGAAAACGCTAAGAGTTCAAGGCAGTTTTAAAGGATCTAACAAGAACGACAATACCAAAAAAAAAAAAAAAAAAAGGTCCGCAACAATATTTGTGAAGATACCATTGGGTGTTGCACAATGTTTTTATCTAGATTTTTTTAAAGAAATATGTTAAATAATAGCTCAGCATTCTCACTATCCCTGTGAGCCAGCATTAGAGGCCAAGAAATACCTACAAAGGCCGTTAAGTTTCTATATGGCATATATCCAGAGGAGAAAATGAAAGGAGAAAAGACTAGAAGGCTGATTAATAGAAAAAAAGAAAAAAGAGCAAGAGAAAGAGAACGAAAAGCCAAGATGAAATGAAACCTCAACAATGGCATAATTTAAAGTTTATTTCATGACCTTACAGGCTGGAATATGAAGTTTATTGAGCGATTGCCACTGCAATATAATCATTTTTCCATCTCTTTCCCTTCTATCACTTGCTTTGGCTGTCATTAGGTTTGCTTTCTGCAACTTTCTCCTTATACTATGTTGCCTTAAAACAACTATAATCTAAAAAAATTAAAACAAATTGTACAAGACTTAAGTGTAAAATATGTGTGATTAAATTTTATAATGTGTTACTTAAAAATAATGATAGTCTGAGTCATCTAAAACAAATTGTACAGGGATTACATATAAAGTAAGTCTTATTAAACTCTAATCCAGCAGTAGAAGTTCTCTCCTTCAGAGAAAGTACATGAATTTTAGTGCACGGACATTGTGACAGATATTTCAGTGGCTTTTCTTTCATGTACAATTTCTCTTTTGTGTCACAAATGTTTGCCTTGGCCAGCAACTTGACACAAGTATATGAGAGTGTTGCTCTATATGCAAACAGTGTTAAGCCTTGTGATAAGCTACCTGTCCTGCATATTTAAATGTTAAATAATATGTATGCTCTTATTTTTTATATTTTTATTATTTATTCATTTATTATTTAGAGACAAGGTCTGTCTTTGCCTCCCAGGCTGGAGTGCAGTGGCACAATCATAGTTTACTGCAACCTCAAAATCCTAGGCTCAAGTGATCCTCCTGCCTCAGTCTCTTGAGTAGCTGGGACCTCAGGTGGACACCACCATGCACAACTAATTAAACATTTTTTTTTTTAGAGGCAGGGTCTTGCTATGTTGCCCAGACTGGTCTTCAACTACTGGTCTCAAGTCATCCTCATGCCTCAGCCTCCCAAAATGCTGGGATTATAAGTGTGAGCTACTGTACCTGGCCACTTCTTATATATTTTAAAATTGTGTTTCTAGCTTTGTAGCTTTTAGACAGACACCAAAGAAGTTAATACATTCTCTTAAAACTACTTTCACTTATTTCAAGGATAAACAATTACTACCTCATGTTTCTTCCACAAGTGTTCAGTAAAAAATGTTTTCAATGAATAAACAAAATCTCTACTCTTGTTCTAAGTGTTTAGCAACAAAATGGTAATATCTTAAGGTCATGTTCAGATACATGTTTATAAAGTGTTGAAAAATAATGCAAGTGACTTACCTTCTGCATCAATAAGGTTATCTGCCACTACAATGTACTGATATGATTTTTATGGTATTATTCTGAAAACTATTGATATTTATTTTACACATTAAAGGATAAAATATATTGTCCCCTATGTGCTTAATGACAAAAAAATCAGAAAATATGTGTGGTTATTTTCAAATAAGTTATACCACTCTGAACTCAGGAATAAAAGCTAGATACTTCCAGCTTTTTTTGATTTATAATTCTGAATTTGACTTGGATATTATTGGAGCAGCAATTCTGATCAATATCATTTCTTTGTATATCTGAAAAAATCCAAAGCAATTCCTCCTTATATAGTTAAAAATTATTTGATAGTCTTCAGAAATTATGGCTCTGTTGTGTGAAAGAATTTTTTTTATTTTTTTAAATTCCTGCCCATGACATCGAAATTTGTTTAAATAAATATAGTAGCTATTTCTAATAGAGGGTAAAGGGATGACCAAAAAGTAGTAAATCCCCATTAAAATTCAAAAGTTGTTTTATCTACATGATTTCAAAGAAGTAAGTAGGTTCATTCTCTTTATTTTGCCCCGCCTCCTCTCCCAAACAAATTTTTGAATTTCGACTGGTTTTGCAGGCAGGAAAAACCCAGCTCAAATTAGTAGAGGATATTGACAGGAACATGACGGAAAACATAGTTATCTTATCTTAACGGAGTTTTTCCATTAAGATGTTTTGAACTTGAAATACTATAAGAATAAACTTACCCAGTTTTACTTCAGCATTATGAGTCAGCAGCACATTCTGACCTTTGATGTCCCGGTGAATTACTCGGTATGCGTGAAGGTGAGCTAACCCCTGTATATATTTTTTAAAAAGCCACATCAGTATATATTTATCTCTTTCCAGTACAGTTCTAGTGTTTTTGGGAAAACTTTTGATAAGAGAAACAGCTTAATCCTGATGCTTCAAACACAGTTCTTTCTTTAGACTGGAATTACTACAACCCATTCCTAGAAATATGACTTTTGACTATAAGGAAAGGAAAATAAATCAGGACACCCACGAAAGAAAAAGAACACCAAAATAAATGTTTGTATACAGTGGACCACTTTACCTTCATTTCTAGCCTCCATATTTCCAGCTGACCTAAGAGTAAAGACCTGGACATCTTAAATATCATAGCTCAGCTATTGTTTTGCTCTATTCCCTATCCAACCACTTGTTTAGTCTAAAATATTTTCTAGTCAGCCTTGTATGCTGATAATTTAGGGGAATGTGGAAATTCATTTTAAACCATTTGTAATCTGTGTTGGCTTAACACTTTGGCTCTAACCCATTCACCACTAAAATTTACTCGTGACCTGGCTAGTCCATGACATGGTATGCAATGTTAGGCTGTAGTGAGATTGCCCCAGCCACTAACTGGAGATTCATAATAAAGTAACAATAAAACTGCTAACATTTATTGAGCCGTTATTCTTTGCTAAGTATTGTACTAAGTGCTTTACATGGAGTAAATTACTAATTCCTCACAGAAACCCTTTGAGGAAGGCGTTAAAATCACCCTCATACTATAGATGAGGAAAGTGAGCCTTGGAAAAATTAAGTAACCGATTCAAAGTTACAAAACTTATACATGGTAAACTAAATGTAAGCTCAGTCCAGAGTTTGAACTCTCAACCATTTACGCTATCATCACAAGTGAATCTAACCAAAATGATAGGAAGGACATTCTAACATTGTATGAATGGTACTGTTAACTCTGTTAATATCCTTCTTGGATGACTTTGAGAACTTTAGTCACAAAAGATGGAATCTGATAGCTCAAGAAGATTGTTGCTCTCATCAAATTGGGTGTGGAAAATAAAGACATTTAAAACAGAAGCAGTAATCAAAGAAAATGTCTGTTTGCCAAAAGGCTACAGATGGTTTGAGGCCATTCCATACAATACTGACTTCTTCTGTCTCACCTTCATCTTAATCTATGATGTTTGTACTATGTTTTTGTTTAAAAAACTCTAAAATAATAATAACATAATAAATAGTCCAAGTGGTTATTTCTATGATCCATTGAATGCAGTAGTCAGAATCTGACAGAGGTATAAAAGGCCATGATTTCAAAGGAGCTGGTTACCCAGCTGTGGACTACTTTAAAGTTTAAGAGGATCAGCCGCAAATTTGCTTTCCCAAAAGCTTTTTGGCTTTTTTAGATATCGTGATGCATAGGTTATGTTTCAAATACCTAAACTATCTGATGTGAGCAGGTATAAGGTGCATTATATATATTACTCCCAGGTTCTTAAAATATCAGAAGAGAATGACTACATTAAGACTCACTTGAAGGATTTCTCGGCAGATATAAGCAATCCAATCTTCTTTTAAACTCTGATTTCTGGTCATTCTCACTACATCAGTGACCGAGCCTGCTGCACAGAACTCCATCACCATCTGCAGGAAAGCCAGCAAAGTATAAAAATTAGTATGCAATTTTCTGAAAATATCTGGAGAGTTTTAGTCCATATGGCTTGTATCTATATGTAATGTTTAGAGATTAAGGCATTGCAAAGACGGCCTCAATTGTCTGGTGGTAGACTCCAAAAGCTAGCGAAATTAGAAAGAGTTGGAGTAAACCCAAAGTTTTGTAGAGGGAGAGAAGCCAGGTATTTCACCAGAGATATTTAACTGGGAGTTGGAGTTTGAGCTATGTCTTTAAGGATAGGTAGTGTTTGGATATGCTTAAAAGAAAAAGCATTCAGTTTATGGAAAACTAAATAAACACATGCTTTTAGAAAGAAGTTTGTGCAGGGAGCAAACTTAAGTGATGACTAGAATGGGAATGAAAGAATGGTCGAGAAAACAGTTTGATTGGGGGTAAAGAAGCAAAATATGGAGGGTCTCAAAAGAGTTTACATTTCAACATTAAAACTAGGTTTGGTTTTTGTTGTTTTGTTTTCTATTTTCGAATTTCAAACTATTTTCCCTAAGATACTGGCAAGCTACAACTCCAAGGGGGAATTTGTCCATTGCATTCCTATGGGATAATTTCTTCCAAATGGGATCACTGCTAAGGAAAACCTATTTTAAAGCTATTATCTTTGATAACATTTCATTAAGATTTTATTGTATTAATAAACTCCATTTCTCAGAAAGTTTATTTTTGACACATATAAAGTGAGGGCCCAACTAGTAGATTTTCTTCCAGGTAATATTAGTTAGAAGAAAGACCAATGTAGAAGAGAATATACCTATCATAATTATCCCAGCAATCTTTTCCTTGAGTACAGGTTTATGTATTACTGCCCATGTCAAAAATACTTTATCAAAAGATCAAAATACCTCTGTTTTAAAACTTTATACAAATTAATTATCACCATAGCTGAATGGAAGCAAAAGGATAAATCCCAAATCGTGACTATTCAAAAACTCTAAGTTTGTGTTCGTGTCCTTTGTAGGGACATGGATGAACCTGGAAACCATCATTCTCAGCAAACTGACACAAGAGCAGAAAATCAAACACCGCATGTTCTCAGTCATAGGTGGGTGTTGAACAATGAGAACACGTGGACACAGGGAGGGGAGCACTGCACACTGGGGTCTGTTGGCGGGAAATAGGGGAGGGACAGCGAGGGGTGGGGAGTTGGGGGGGATAGCATGGGGAGAAATGCCAGATATAGGTGAAGGGGAGGAAGGCAGCAAATCACACTGCCATGTGTGTACCTATGCAACAATCTTGCATGTTCTTCACATGTAACCCAAAACTTAAAATGCAATAAAAAAAAGTCTAACTTACTTCCTATGGAATATTAAGATCTTCTTTTCGGAAAACTACTCCCCTAATTTGTAGTTATTCACCACTGATATTATTGCATGTCTTTCACATGACTACACTTGCACCAAAAAGAAGAGGCAGCCAAACAAAACCAAGACAGATAAGCCACAAAAAGTTGATTTTCACATGGAGAATTAAGCATTGACTATATTCAATGGGCACAACATCTACTCTGTGACAACTCCTCATTTTAAACCATGACAAACCAGAATTAAAGCCATTCAACTCAGGTAAACCCTGGAACATCTTGCTTATATTATGCCAGTCAGAAGAGCTCAACTATAAAAGGAATGTCAGGTATTCTCAATAATTTTCCTAACTTTGTAAGCTTGATGCCTGGTACATACACTTCTTTATTAATGGTCATTATTAAGCTATTTACTTACTTCCTACTTGTTTTTCTGATTTACATAGGCAAAAATTTGTGAACTGTCCCATGAAAACTCTTACCTTAACAAATAATTTATTCATTAAATGCTTGTTCACCCTTCAGCTCTCAGTTCAAGATTTCATTCCTCAAGGAAGAGTTTCTCATTTCCCAACTTAACTAAGGTTTGTTTTTCACTCACAGAGAGCCATGATATTTCCCTTCTGACAAATTAAACATTTATGTGTGTGATTATTTGATTCACACTGGTCTTTGCAAATAGATTGTAAGCACCAGTGGGTCAGGAGCATGTCTATTCAGCTTACTATTTTATCCTCAGCATCTAGCACAACACCTGTCAAATAGTTTGCAATTGATATATGCTGAATGCCTGAATGAATTGAGTACTAATACATACCCAGAAAGGAGACTGCAAAAATTCTCATACTTTGCTATACTGTCAAGACGAAAAACACTTTTAAGTGAAAATATATAAAAAGGCAAATGGTGTATGCCAAAAAAATTCCTCAGTAACTAAACGGTGCAGCCATATTTACTAAAATCTTGACTGAAATTGTCAGAGAATAGAGGATGCATGTTAACTGTATATTGGAGAGATAACAGAGTTAAGCTGAAGGTCTTTAAATTTTGTGGTTCCCAGAGTGTAGTGTTCAGCCAAGCAGCAGCATCACATATTGAGCTTATTAGAAAGGACAATGTGTTGGACCCACACTCCCAAATCTACTGAATCAGAAATTCTGTGAGTGATGCCAGCAATCTGTGTTTTATCAGGCTCTCCAGAAGATTCTGGTGCCTGACAAAGTTCGAGAACCACTGTTTCAATTCCACCCCTTGTTGAAAACCTTTCTATAATGTTCACTGACCTGTTTTCTGAAATCCATTATTTAGAATGTAATAGAATATTTCCTTGTCACTTGAGGATACTGTATCACTTTAGGCATTATTTTGAAAAAAATACTACTAACTTGGACGGGAAATAGAGATGTGGCAAGTACAGAGATTCAAATATATACTAACACCACCTTATGTTCTAAATATTCCATTTTTAATAAAGACATCCTTGACCAAAACTGATTTTCTTGAGATTTAACTATTTTTACCATAGTGGGGGGCATCAAAAATTCTGGTATCTGTAGCTCAGGTAGCATAACTTCCAGTTAGCCTCTACAATTTATATCTTTTTTTTT